GTGCGCCTTGGTGTTTAGTCATGCCGGCCACATGACCACGGAAACGTCTTCGGACATCGCTGGCTCTTCGGCTTTGAAACGGAGATGAGCACCACAACCCTAGAGTCGGACTCGACTGGCTTTCGAGCAAGGGAACCTTTACCTTTACCTTTTACTATAGCTTTTGATTCTTGGAGATGATATTTGATATTTTTGAGATCTCTTATATTGTGAACTGTGATTAAGATGATTGATTATATATGTAGAAATTATTGTAAAAATGTTTTTCAAAAAATATAAAATTATTTATGATATGCTATAATCATCTGTGCATGGTACTTGTATGTTCGTTTTCCTACTTACCGTGGGTCCTTGTTTGGTTTTGTGACTTGATATAAAGGCAACAGACTCCAAATTACCTACCCTGTGTCTCCTTATAATACCTGTTCTCATATCCCTGAGTTTTCACATATCCCAAAGGTTCTTCAGAGAAAGACCTCTAGGAGTCACCGTCGCCATCTTCCTCTCCATTCTTCCGTCAGTTCTCTTTAGCGTCCCCCTTTTCAGCCGCTGTCTTCTCCCGTCAGCGGCCTTTCTTTCATCCATGCCGGTGCTTTCTTCACTCTCCAAGAGCATTTTTTAATCAAGCCCTCGGCTTAATCTTGCCCCACTGACAGGGAGCGCCAACGGTGTGATTAATTTACCAAAATATCGGCAGAGAAAGAACGGATAGTCTGCCAGCCGATGAAGGCAGAATCATTCTCGCTCTAAACCTGAAAAGAACTAAAAGGCAGGCCGGGTCACTTTAGTTCATGTATTTAATATTTATTTTATATCTCTGGTCTAGACGCTCAACTTTGACTTAATGACTCCAAGTAACCAATTCCCGCCGATCCAAAACAACGGAAGGATCGATCGCCAGCATTCGCTTCTGGATTTCTTTTCCTGTTCTGTAAGGAAAAGGAGGAGCTGCGGTGGCTCAAGTGGTTAATACGCTGAACTGCAGGCTGTGGAAGTTCAGTAGTTTGGCAGTTCAAGACCCGGGTACTGCATGATGGAGTGAGCTCCCATCTCTAGTTCCAGCTCCTGCCAACCTAGCAGTTCGAAAGCAAGAAATTGCAAGTAGATAAATAGGTACCACTTCAGTGGGAAGGTAACAGCGTTCCGTGCGCCTTGGTGTTTAGTCATGCCAGCCACATGACCACGGAAACGTCTTCGGACAGCACTGGCTCTTCGGCTTTGAAACAGAGATGAGCACCGCAACCCTAGAGTCGTATTCGACTGGCTTTCGAGCAAGGGAACCTTTACCTTTACCTTTAAGGAAAAGGAGGAAACTGTCTTTGCACCTTGAATTTCCATGCCTTTTGTGCTGGGGAGGAAAAACTTCTCTCCTAACAAAAGCTGGAGAATAATACCAGCAGGAAAGTGGACACGAATCACTATTAGTGATCGTTTTTATTAGGAAATCTGGAGAGGGAATGCAAGAGGCAGAGGACATTTCTGCTTTGTTCTCTGACTTACAGGAAAAGACCCTCACCTGGATGGCCCAGGATCTTGTCAGATCTCAGAAGCTAAGCAGGGTCAGGCCTGGTTAGTCCTTGGATGGGAGACCACCAAGGGAGCTCAGGGTCGAAGGGGCCATACAGACCATCTAATCCAGTGGTGGCGAACCTACGGCACGGGTGCCAGAGGTGGCACTCAGAGCCCTCTCTGTGGGCACCTGTGCCATCGCCCCAACCAGGCCCAGACCATCATTAAAGTGTCGAATTCTCTGCCAAATCATTTTAAGTCAATGAAAGCATTTGGGATTGCTTTCCTTACTTTGTTTGGATCATCTTAAGTTAACGTATGAGTTGTTTTTTTCTAAAGTAAAACCTCAGTATTCAGGTTAAATTGCCGTGTTGGCACTTTGCGATAAGTAAGTGGGTTTTGGGTCGCAGATTGGGCACTCGGGTCTCTAAAAGGTTCGTCATCACTGATCTAGCCCAACCCCCTGCCCAGTGCAGGACCAGCATAAAGCATCTCTGACAAATATTCGTCCAGCCTCTTCTTGACAAATATTCGTCCAGCCTCTTCTTGATCCAATTTCATACTCCGGGATACCAATTTAATCCTTACAGAGACAGGGAAGGGGGTTCTTCCTTTCCCTCCTAATACCTGAGTTTTCGACAATTGTCTGTGACCGCGTGACATGTAACAGGATGCGATTTCTTGTCCTGTCATCCCCGGGCTGTGACTGGGGGGCGGGAAAAGACAAGTGCCGTGGAATTAATAATGTCTGCTTCCGAAAATGAGATGCAGTGGGACAAGTCTGGGCTTATGACGCCGGGTATATAGCCGGAGACCTTGAGTCTTCTCATCCACAAAAGAGGTCTTTTAAAGTTGCCCAAACATGTGCTTTGGTCTACAAGAATGCTCTGAGATCTAACCTGATCTAAGCGTGAGTGGGTTCTCCGCCGCGTGCTGGTCGGATCATTCTTTGTCAGGGCAGGAGATTGCAAATTTAAGCCTCATTTCAGGAGGCATGAGGAACACCATACTGGCATACTGTGAGCAAGGAATCAGCAAGTTCTTATCTCTTTGTCTCCGGAGCCAATTCTCAAAGATGCTTTCTCTTTTATCTATCTATCGTTTTCTGCTTCACGCGGGGAATCGCTCTTCAATTCCAGCACCCCAAAATTGTCCCTTTGATTTCTCATCAGGTGCCTTCTTTTTTTTGGTGTAGTGATTAAGTGTGTGTGGACTCTAATCTAGGAGAACGGGGTTTGATTCCCCACTCCTCCACTTGCAGCTGCTAGATGACCTTGGGCAAGCCATAGTTCTGTCAGAGCTGTCCTTGAAAGATCAGTTCTTGAAAGAGCTCTCTCAGCCCCATTTACCTCACAGGGTGTCTGTTGTGGGGAGGGGAAGGCTGAAGGAGTTTGTAAGCCGCTCTGAGTGAAGGACAGGGTATAAATCCAATTTCTTCTTCTTCCCTGCTGTCCCAATCGAGAGATAACCAAGAGGAGAAGTTTCTCTCTGCATAGCAATAAATACGAAACCGACCCTACAGTTGTTTTTCACAGCTCCCTTTTTAAAAACGAAATGGTGTTGAGAAATGTCAGCTATTTGGCAGTTTTCTTTGTCCCCAGATTTGTTTTCCGAGAAGCACGTTCATCCTCCCCTGGAGACGACGGATGCTGTCCAGTATAATTTTCCAACACTGGGTCCTTTCTCCATTAAACAGTGCTAGACATTTTGGGACTTCAAAGAGAACTTAGTGGGGAAATCTGAACTGAACTGCTTTCCAAGTGTCTATCGTTGTTCGGATCTCACCAATAAAAAAAAAAAGTTCAGATAAATATCTTTCAATATACCTCACTTATATAAACGGAAGAGATTAAGGATAGTATGACAGATGCCAAATGCTGTGAGATGTATATATCCGCTAGCACCTGTTAGGTTCTAAATGAATGCCTAGATCATCCTAGGAAGAGATCCAAGCTCAGAATTCTCTGCAAGCAGCGTGCAGCGGCCACAAAGGCAAATGGAATATTAGAAGCTATTTTAAAAGAGACGGAGGAGATAACTTCCGCACGATTTGGTCATCATAGGTTTAAAGCGGCAGATCAAACCTCTTTGTAACAGAAGAAAGAAAAAAGATAATTAAGGAAGAAACTAACGGCTGAACACACAAAGCCGCCTTATACACAGTCAGACCCTCGGTCTATCAAAGTTGTCTTCTCTGATTTGCAGCCAGCTCTACAGGGTCTCGGGCAGAGGTCTTTCTCGTCACCTGATCCCTTTTTTCACTGGGGATGCTGGGAATGGAACTGGGGCCTTCTGCGTTCCGAGCAGATGATCTGCCATTAAGGCCCAGCCCCACATCTGGCCCTATGCTCCAAAGCCAAAAGCCCAGCCCTTACAAGTATATTTCACAAAACCTTTACATAAACCTTTTTTATATGGAGGAAAAGAGAAAGAGAGGTAATGAATAATAGTAGTGGTTTGCTATTGTGCCACTTTGAAAGTCAAGTTCTACCAAATGATGTGGGCTAACCAGAGGGAGGGAAAGATTAAAATGGGATTACATCAGGATTCCTCCCAAGTGTGGCGTACAGACTTTACGCCCCCTCGTTTAAGCCTTTCCTGGCAGGATTCTCTCTTTTTTTAAAAAAAATGTAAATTATACTACCTGCTGTGTGTCACGAGTTGGGGTGCCAGTCAAAGGGAGTCCAGAACAGGCCAAGGTCAGGAGCCAAGAAGACAGTGCGAAGTCCAAAGCCAAGCCGGGGTCAGGAGCCAGGAACACAGAGCCAAGTCCAAAGCCAGGGGGTCCAAAGGTCTAGGAGCAAGAGCCAAGCCAAAGTGGATGCAAGCGACATGAAGCTGACTTGTTGCTTCCACGAAGAGTACTGCCCAGAGTGTGGAGTTAAATGCTGCTACCCATTAGCCAGCTGCATGATCGGCCAGGCTCCTGTTAGAACACTGGGCTGGCTGAGCATCTCCCTTGTAGCCTGGCCTCTCTTCGCCTGGTCACTAAGTTTTTCCGCAGTCGCTCCCTTAAACGAATCACACGTGGGGGTGAGTCAGGAGGACTTTCAGCTTGCAGTTCTTCCTTCTTATTTGGGCCAGGTGTGAAGACTGCTGTTACAGGCACTTACCAGCTATCCTCCTCTGCTGCTTCAGAGGGGCCCGCTGTGGTTTCTGCAGGCTCTGTCACCTCATCCTTATCCACGCCCATGACACTGTGTAATGTGAAGTATCAACTTTTGGAATGTGAAACAAACCAACTCGGGGACACTCCCTTGCTCTTCAGGGAGACTTTGATTTGTGTACGGTCATTATCCCGTCATTTGAAGCATTCGTACTCAGCATGTTCAATGGGTGGGTTGAGGTTTACTAGGTAACTGGAACCTCTGTGGGAGAGGTGAATGGAGCCTCCATGTTCAGGGGCAGTATACCACTGAATACTAAATGCAGCGTCCTAATAGCAGGAGGAGGGTACGTCCTTCATGACCTGCATATGAGCATCCTAAGGCATGAGAATGGTTGTAGTTGGAGGCAAAATGCTGGACAGTCTGATCTGCCCTGCTAATGCTCAGGGCTAAACTGCTCAAGACAGTGGGAGATCTGAGAACAGACCTCCTCCCATGGTGATTTCTTTGGAGTTTAAAAGCATGCACAGAGGACCCAGCTGAAGGGAGGACTAGCCTCTTTCTCGTGCACATTTCTCCAGTGAAAGTAACCCTCCCAGAGCCTCCAGTTTACCCCACAAGTATGAGTGGGTGGGCCAAGATCCGAGTGTGAATCCTCCGTGAAAATTGCTGGGTGAACCTCGGACCCTGTCACACACTCGTGTTGCAGCCTGACTCACAGGGTTGTTGTGAGCATAGAACAGGGGAAGGCAAGGTCATGTACGCTGCCCTGAAATCATTGTAGGAAAGGCAAGATAAGAATGGAGCAAACAGATAACAGACAGGCGCCATCTGTGGTGGCGATAGCACTATTTGGGGGGGGTGATTTGGGCAGGGAAAACTGTGCAGGCAAAAGGGTCAGCTCCTTTCCCACACTGCAGGCCTGATTCAAGCCCCTCCTCCTCCTCCTGCTTCTTTTAAGACAAAATAATCCATTCATCGGCGGACCTCTCACTGCAGCGTCTCGCTCGGCCTTGACATTCTTGTGCTTCCTTGTAATGCCCTTCACTCCCTTTTTACAATCTTAAATCTCACAGCATCTCTAATTGGGAATGTTTTTTAAAAGGCGGGGGGGGGGGGGAATATCATTCCAAATGTGTTTTTGCAAGAAAATCCACATGGATAATTCTCTTTTGAGATTACTTTATCTCCAAATATTCCTCTTCTATGTACCCGGGTATCTCTCCTTCCTCCGCCAGTGGTTTGTTTCGTGACTGAAAAGTGATTAAAAAGCAAATCTGGTCTGAAATGTTAAGGACTGAAACTCTGCGTTGCTTTGCTGTAAATGGACGAGGCCTAGCTCAATGGAGACCCAGTGCTGCGTATGTTTCCCTGGAGCCATTTGACAATGACTGGCACGCAGGCACCACAGGGAGCCGATCCCCCATGCTCACCTCTTTCCTCTGTCCCCCGTGCAATTAGCGAGGTCCTCCTTCAGCCCCCTGGTAATTTTCCAGTTGCACAGTAAGCCTTTCTCTCCCCCCTTGTCAGTGACCACTTATCAAGCTTAACGTCTAATTACACTTATCTGTGCTGAAAATTGGCCATTATTGCTACTTAAATTCCCACTAATTGTAAGAAATACTTCCTTAGCAAACCGCCGGATAATTTTTTTGCGGGTAATCTAGACTCGATAAGCTCCGTTGCTCAGCTACGCGTTGGATTTGGTTTGGCGGCTGGTGTCTTTCTTTTTTCGAGGCTTGATGCAGCCTGTCGTCATTTTTGCATCCGTTCCAGGGGTGAGCAAAGTGGTGACTGTTGACATCAAGGGGAATTGGCAGCACTGGCTGAAGATCCGAGATCTCACGAAGGGAATTACGTATTTGTTCCGCGTGCAGGCAAGGACCATCACCTACGGACCCGAACTGCAAGCCAACGTCACGGCGGGGCCAGCGGAAGGTAAGGGAGAGGCCACGAGGGATGTACGGGAAAGAGTCGTGCGAGGGGGGAAACAGTCAATTGCTTTAACCCAGCAGCAAAGCAAAGCGTTCAGAATGTATTTTCACACCCAGGGAAGAATTAAGTCACAAGGCACGATTCTGGTAGCTTTCTTAACAGGCGGCGGGGACTGCCCAGGGGTCTCTGCAGAAGAAGCCTCTTGCCATCAGCTCGTAGCCGTGTCTTACGCACGGGAAGAAATTAAGATTCTGTACCGAGAAAGCCAAACTCTGTGACTGGTATATATTATGCAAATGTAAGCATTAGTTTGCCCTCACCTGGATAGGCCAGGCTAGCTTGATCTCGTCAGATCCTGGAAGCTAAGCAGGGTCGGCCCTGGTTCGTATTTGGATGGGAGACCGCCAGGGGAATAGCGGTGTTGCTACGCAGTGGCAGGTAATGGCAAACCCTCCTCTGAACATCTCTTGCCTTGAAAACCCTGTGGGGGTCTCCATAAGTCCGCTACGACGTGAGAGCAAAAAACAAAAACAAAAGCATTAGTTCTCTTCCTTTGCGCCGAGGGCCCGTTTTCTGAAGGTAAGGCACAAGCCGCTCTGTTGGCCGTGACTTCTTTTCTGACGAGGCCCTTCTGCTTTTAAAAGATGCACGATAGCCCAAATCTAGTAACTAGGCTTTTCTCGTCGGCGCTTTGCCTGTGTATCAGGAAAAACATCTGCCTATTGTGCGGCTCTTAAAAGCACAGGAGCCTGAGCAGGATAAGACAGTTGGCAATGGCAACTCTGCTTTTAGCTCGTCACCAATTCGGTTGCCTCTCCAGCAGGGTGCTGCTGAGGAAACTGGGAGGATGCGGCTTTATCTGTACGTGCAAACGGGGTTAGGTGCGGAGACATGGCAAAGAGCTTCCCGAGAAAAGAGAGTGTTTTATTATTTATTTATTTATTTATTTATTTATCCTCTGGCAAGAGACGAGGAGGTAGAGGTCATCAATACAAAAACTCATCATAATTTATTTATTTATTATATTTATATCCCGCCCTCCCCGTGGACGGGCTCAGGGCGGCTCACATAAGCGGCACAGTATGGCCGGTAAACATAAAACAGTTAAAACAGTTAAAACAATCATGCAATAACATTTAAAATGCTCGCAACAATTATCCATCAGTAAGTTTAGGTGGCATACTAAAGTGATATACTAAATCCCGACTTAGTGGTCTTCTGGCCTTCCACGGCATTTTGGTCTGATCTCCATACAGGGCCAGTCCACTAACCACAAATACTGATGTAATAATAGTTGGTGGTAGTGGTAGGCGGTTCCTAGTTGAAGGCCTGGTGGAAGAGCTCTGTCTTACAGGCCCTGTGGAACTGTACAAGGTCCCGCAGGGCCCTGATTTCCTCCTTTTCTCAGAGGGTAGCCATGTTGGTCTGCAATAGAAAAGCTAAATTTGTGTCCAGTACCACCTTAAAGACAGCTGCAGTGGCTCAAGTGGTTAAGACGCTGAACTGCAGACCGGAAGGTCAGTAGTTCTACAGTTTGAGACCCGAGTGCCGCATGACGGAGTGAGCTCCTGTCTCTGGCCCCGGCTCCTGCCAGCCTAGCGGTTCGAAAACAAGAAATTGCAAGTAGATAAATAGGTGGGAAGGTAACAGTGGTTCTGTGTGCCTCAGCGTCTAGTCATGCTGGCCACATGACCACGGAAACGTCTCTGGACAGCGCTGGCTCTTCGGCTTGGAAACGGAGATGAGCACCACATCTCTAGAGTCGGATCCGACTGGCTTTCGAGCGAGGGAAACCTTTACCTTTACCTAAACTAGCACTTTAAAGACCCTCAAGATTTTCAGGGCATGAGCATTCAAGAGTCAAAGCTCCATCAGAGCTTACCTTTTCATAGAAGACAGCTCTTTTCCCCAACACCCTTACCATCACTTTGCAGGTATCGGGTGTGTGTGTATATACTTGCAAGCCTGGATGTCATGGTGACTTCTGGCAACCCCCTGGTGGGGTATGGACAATTCAGAGAGGTGGCTTAATTGCCTGCCTCTGTGTCCTGAGCCCCGGTATCCCTTGGAGGTCTCCCTTCCAATAACTTTCCCAGGTTGGCCCTGCTTAGCTTCCAAGATCTGACGAGGTCGAGCCTGGGCTATCCAAGTCAGGGCAGTTTGCGGATATTCTTGATCTTTTATCTCTGAAGTAACCGGAATGCATACATGATAAAGACTCTTTCACCCCGTCACCTTTGCTGTCGTGGTTTCCACCCTCCCAGGATCTCCCGGTCCCCCTCAACACGTCGTGGTTTCAAAAACGGCCTCCAGCCTGACTTTGTACTGGACCGAGGGAGTTTCGGGAAACGCGCCCACCACCGGCTACGTCATAGAAACCAGACCCTCAGGTATTTATTTATTTATTCAACGCATTTACAGCCTGGCACTTGGCGTTTCTCAAGGTGCCAAACGACATGGTGAGAAAACAGAACTTAAACGCCATCCTGGCATTCTTTGTTCAGAAAATCGAGTTGTAAGATCAACTGAGGGGGCACATTGTTAATCAAATTGCCTTGTTTTATTAATAAATGTGGGGAATTGTGAATATTAAATGCAGGGCCGGCTCGCTCACTAGGCAAACTAGGCGTTCGCCTAGAGTGGCCCGGCCCTTAGGGGCGCCAAACTGCACCTGGCTCCCCCGCCAAAAGCTCCCCGTACCCAGCGTGGCCCATTCCTGCAACCTGCCAGCCTGTGGGAGGCTCCGCCGGCAGGCGCTGGGCGAGGCAGCAGCTGGGCAAAGTGGGTCAGTGGGTGCGGAAATCCTCTGGCCAGTGGCAGCAGCAGCACCCGAGGGAGGGCGGCAGCCCTAACCAGCACAGGGGCAATGCACGGGGGGAGGGGGCGGCACACAGGGGGCGCCAGAAGGGATCCTTGCCTAGGGTGCAAAATAAGCTGGGGCCGGCCCTGATTAAATGGAAATAGGCATTAATTATAGGATCATAACCTGTGTATACTGGAGTTTTAGTTTAGTTTGTTATTATTACAGTCTTAAGACCAACATACAGAGTAAGCATAATAGGTGTATACCGGAATTATATTTCCCAGGAATAGATGCTGAGGCTAGATTACTAAAGCAGTGATTTCTTTACTGAAGGAATCTCAAACATGCAAACATAAAATCAAACATAAAAACACACACACACACACAAAATACAGAACAAAGAATATAGAGTTGAAAGGACAGAGACATTTGCATGAGCAGGATTATTGTTGGCGGGGTAATACTGTACCTGTCCGATGAAACGCTTGGATGATGCAGCGAAAATTGGGACACAATGCGGGGGGAGGGATCTTATGTTGTCTCAGTGTTTCCCAGAATATTGGCATCCGGAGGATTTCCTCGTTCATTCTTTGTGGGCCTTGATTCGTCCTCTGGTGTCATGGCAGAAGGGGGGCGGGTAGGTTTCTTCAGGCTTTTCTCCAGATGGGAATATGGTTGCATGGAAGAGCAGCTCCTCGGACAAAAGTGAAGAGAAGTTGGGCGTTGGATCCATGGAGTGGCCCTCCCTGAGCAAGGTCCCACTTCCAAGCGTTAAGGTTTCCCGAGACTGCTACAGGAGTAACCATTTCAACACTGGGCTTCCCTCCTGAAAGCCACATAGTTGCCTATCTTGGTGATTCTCACTCCATGTTTACCTAGAACACGGGCAGGTATGACAGGATCCACTGCTGTCCACTTCTCAGCCACCGGTCCTCTCAGCGGTGGCCAACGTGCTTGAGCTTCTGGGTTCTTGACAGGGCTGACAACCTCCAGGTGGGGTCTGGAGATCGCCCAGAATTACAACAGATCTCCGGACGACAGGGATCTGTTCCCCTGGGGGAAATGGCCGCTTTGGACAGTGGACTCTACGGCTGAGGTTCCTCACCTCCGCAAACTGCACCCTTTCACCCACAAATCCCCGGGAATTTACCAACCCAGAACTGGCAACCCTAGTTCTTGGATGGACCTGTCTTCCAGCACCCATTTTGGTGTTGCTAATTCCCTGTTGTTTGCCCTTATGCAGCAGAGGATTATGTTCCAAACAGAAGCTTCTTACTGTAGTCTTTTGCGACCCTTTGTCTGAATGCACGTACGTGTATAGTGCTATCTAGTCCGGTATTTACTCAGTGGTTCTCCAGAATCTTGAGTGTAGATATTTTCCCCTATGCACACCTGCTCCCTGATATTCTTTAGGTTAAGATGAAGGACTCTCCAAGAACCTGGGATTTGGAAAGTACTAGAGACTTCCTGTTTGCAAAGCATGTGCTCTGAGCCACAGCCCTTCCGAAAGAGGATTTTGTGGCTTGTGGGGCAAAAAATTTTCTGGCTGGGTGGAAGTCCTCAGTGCAGAAAGAAAAGCCATTTAGCCAATAGAAAGCTGTTCCCAGGATAGATCTCTAAACTGCAAGCTGCCAACCACTTTAGATGACAGTTCTCAGCTGCTGCAAGTTAATCACTTCTGCCAGCCTAAGCAACCGGTTCTGATAACAAGCCGGCAGGTGGGGGTGATGGTTAGTATAGTCAAGAAAGCTAACACTTGGGCTGAAAAACTCTCTTAAAGGAGACCAGTTTCTTGACACAGAGTTAGAAGGGACCCTAGAGGTCACCTACTCCAACCCCCTTGCTCAGTTTGAGAATTAGTCAACTACAGCATCCTACTCTGCTTAAAGGAGCGCATGCCTTTTAAAAATGTTTAAAAATGATTGAAGAAAGCATTTACAGGAGAAATTCTTTGGGGGCTGTGCCTTTAAGAAAAGGGGCTGAGCCCCCAAAAGCCCCACCATAGCTATGGGCCTGCCTTCCTCTTTGAGGAAGCCCTGCTAATCATCAACTGTTCCTGTGTATTGAAATACCTTACAAATCCATTGTGCCTTTCCTATACCACACACACACACACACAATCTCCCTGTTAGCTTCCATTTTTATTGGAACTTCTGCAGTGTTTTGACCATTTCCCCCAAGTCACTCAGATAAATGAGCTCCTAAGGCTACACATTCGGATTCTTGCTGAGGACAGACGTTTTTTCCATTCCGGCGCACATCTCCATTACTCCATTGCCTTCCCCTAATTTCCACCCCGCAGCCTCGATAAACAGTGTTCACAACAAAGTTAATGAAATTTGCTCATTGTTCAAGGATCAGGGTTTCCAGGCGAAACGAGGCTGCTGGAGCTTGTAACCAACTTTTTCACCCACTGAAATAAATCGACGGTTTGAATAAAACAAGGGGTGTCGAGGGACGGGACATCTACCCATCATGCACATCAAAAGACAGGTTGCCTTTTGCCGACACTGTGCTCTTGGGGGGGAGACCACGTCCTTCCAGTTCTCTGAAAGAGGAATACCCCCCTACCCGACATTTTCCCTGTGATGTCCAATATTATTTTGAACGTACCTTGATTCAGTTGCCTCGCCTGACAAGGAGAGGCACGTATTGTGGATGGCTCTGACTCATGAGGTACAACCCACTACGATGCTCTCCTGAGCACACCTGTTCGAAATAGCAATCTCTCACACGTCTCCACTTCATTCTAATGAGACCAGTGGAGGAGTAACACACGGCGACCTGAGCCCCAAGGTCAGGGCTGTGACCAGGATTTTTTTTTTAAACTTTGGGAGGCATTTAAATAAGTTGGGGGGGGCAGCCCCACACACACCCAGGCTGTGTCAGGAGCAACGAGAGAGTAAAACTTTTTAAAAAGTGACGAGAGAGAAAGAGGCCAGAGGCAAGGGCGCCAACAGGAAGAGCAGGGAGCAATGTTCCCTCTAAGCTGTGAAGTCTTGTGAGCAAAAATTCTACTTTGTGAGCTACTGGCATGAAAGCTGGCTGCTGCATAAATTGGTTTGCTCTGGAGCCATCCTTCCAGAGCCAAGACAAACATGCGTGAGCCAGAGGCTAAAAAACTGTGAGCTAGCTCACTAACTCAGCTTAGAGGGAACACTGCGGTGCTATTCTATGTCCTCTGTCAGACATCGTTTCACTTTTTCTTGCTGTGCCCAACAGTATGCAGCGGACGAGGCACCGGGGACAGTGGAGAGGGTTCCTCCAAGGGAGCTTTGGCCTGCCTTAGCCTCCCTTTGTGCAGCCGGGCCCTGGAAACAATTGTCAGAAGCCAACCCCTTGCCTCTGCTCCTCGCCGGGTCTAACTACCGAGTCGTTTAATTCCATTGCAGATTATTTTAATCCTATTCATGCCGCCGTAATAAACCAACAGGGCCATTTGTGTGCCAGGATTCCTCTTCTTTGTTGGGGGCGGAATCTGCAGAAGAGCATGAAATGCGATGCGGGCAAGGGGGAAGGGATGGTAATTGGGATGCCGGCTTATTTCGCACACACTCTCAGCTTCATTAAAACACCCCGTGCCTCGCTAGGTATTATTCCTCCTGCCCGCTGGAAGGATTTTGCTCTCCGGATTTGGAGCTCAGAGGAGAAGAGGCTAATTCTTGTCTCCCGAGTCATTGTTTCATCCAGTGCCGGAGATTATGCGCGGCGCATTTGGCTGTGGAACAGGGATGATGCGGAGCTGCCGGCAGCGACCTTCGGAAGGGCCGCTGACCCCTGAACAGCAAGGCGGACTCTGCGTTTAAAGCTGGGGAGACGGGAGCTTCATGTGTCTGTTAACTGCAACCGAGGCGTCTTAATAGGCCCCTGGAAAGAGTTAGCACTTTGTCAATATTTAAACAACTGATTATTACCTTAGGGTTTCGCATCTCAGCTGTCATCTATTACAGGCCTCATTACCTAAGCATTAAACGCTGTATTCTCCCTCCCCTCCTCCCCACTCCCGTTATACCTCTCAGACCTGGAATTGCAAATGCTCTATGAAATAGGCATTCGCTCGGCATGCCCTGCCTCCTCCTTTCAGGATACTCGGTCGGTTTCTCAGGAGTTCTTCCGCGGTTTTAGCACCTTTTTAATTCTACCCAGTTTTGTTTCAGTTTGAATTTTGGCAAGCCCGGGCACAGAGAATCTGTATGGGTAGTTTAAAAGACACGAAGCAGCCAGGTGAATGGACTGAAAATAAATCCTGAGCATTACTGGTTTAAAATATTTATATCCCTCTTTTGTCCCAGTCAATGGGACGCAATGCAGCTTATCTCAAATTAAAAACGAATCTCGAATCACAAAGATAGAGGCCAGAAGAATTGGCCACGACCTGAACTAAGGCGCTGTCAACAGTGCATCAGATTTACCAAGCCTCCAGAACCTTCACAAGGTCGGGGCCATCCTCACATGTTCAGGAAGCTCGCTCCATAGGAGGAAGAAGAAAAAGAAGAAGAAGAGGAGGAGGAGGAGGAGGAGGAGGAGGAGGAGGAGGAGATTAGATTTATACCCCACCTTTCACTACCCAAAGGTGTCTCAGAGCAG